CGGGGAAACAAGTCCTGCCCTCTGTTAATCAGCTTGATTGTTCCTTGGAGGGTAGTTCCATTGGAGACAAGGTGGACCAATGGAACCTCCTTGTTTAGAGGCAGTATTGTCCCCGATTTGAAGCTCACAAGGAGTTCACCTTCTGATATTTTTAGAGCCAGGACAAAACATTTCTTTTCAACTGGGTTTTAATTTAGAAGCCTATCGTTTTAGCTGTTTTATGTTCTTCTAACTTGAGGACTCTTTCAGAAAATTTCTCTGGCAACTCGGCGGGTGTTCTTCTTATGCTCCTGGCTTTTTAAATTGATTATTTTGGCAGTATTTAGGATTTTCTGCTTTTGTTTTGGTTTATGAACCAACTTGAGCAGGTCTGTGGAGAGGCAGCCTATAAATAAATCAATGTTTATTAAAGCCGGGCACTGTATAAACATTCCCCGGCACTACCACCACCATAGGTACAAACAACACAGTGTTTTGTTCCCCATTTTAATTTCTCTTTCACACTTCAGAAAGATTTCCTAGCCATCCTCAGGCTGTTGCCTTTGGAGAAAGTCCCAGCAAACCGCCCCCCGTTCCCAAGAAGGCGAAATTTAGCCCAAGAGGAGTCCTACCCGAATGCACCAGAGAAAGGTTCCCACCACAGAGGTAAGCAGATACCTGCTGATGTCTCTCTTTCTTCTGGATCCTGGAGAAGTGGCTCTCCTGCTTCTTCCACTGTGGATACGGAATCAGGGTTGGGAACCAGAAGTCCTCCTTTGGAGGAAAGAAAGAGACCGGTGATTTCTAGATGTTCCAGGAAATATTCAGGTTTTTACATCAGGCTATCTGAGCCACAACCACTCATAAGAGCAACAAGGAGAAACTGAAGTTTTTAAACTCCTGAAAGTTGCATCCAGTGCAGGGGAGGGGCCTACTGCTGGGATCCAGAAGGATCCCTCTGCTGATAGCCTAAAGTGGAGAATAAAGGGGCAGGGAAGTTCGGCATGGAGAAGGGAAGCCCTAGCCAATATGGAGCCGCCAGGATACGGGACCCCCCTTCCAAGGCAAGTGGGATCTGACATCCCAGTATGACTCCCACCTAGGGCAGCTCTGACAAAAGCTCACTGTCTAAGGGCTACACTACCTTTGAAGGGACCCTTCCAGGATGGAAAAAGGTGGTGATGGGTCCCAAAGACTCATAATAAAAGTGTGAAATTTATTTTTAACATTTATAAATCTGATTTCTGTATTTAGGACATTTTTTATACCACTCAACCCATAAAGAGATTAGGACTGCATGCACTGTCTTCCGTTCCCCTCCAGCCTGGAAGGGGAAGGCAGAGCACGAGCAGCATGGCAGGCAGAAATTCATCAGGCAAAGCTCTTCATGACATTCAGCAAAACTTCACCCACCCAACTGCTATTTTTCTTGGTTGGTTCTTCAGGGCCGCACTACCTTTTACTAAATCTTTGGGACACTCGGGGCTCTTTTTGTAGCAGGAACTCCTTTGCATATTAGGCGACACACCCCTAATGTAGCCAATCCTCCAAGAGCTTACAGAGCTCTTCTTACAGGGGCTACTGTATGTTCTTGGAGGATTGGCTACATTAGGGGTGTGTTGCCTAATATGCAAAGGAGTTCCTGCTACAAAAAGAGTGTCCCGGACACTCCTAAGTCTACACTGGTGTAAGTAGAATGAATACAGCAGAAGGTCCCAATTTATCTCCTTTCTGCCTTCTCTGCCCCCACACTTATCCTTATCAAATATCACAGAAGAGTGTAAAGTCTTTGGGGAAGGAAATGTCTTTTCAAACTTGCCCAAATACATGATTTTGTCTTACTAGGAATCTTTGTTGTTAAGTTTAGATGTCTTATCTTGTCAGGCGCTCGCTGACTGCCTGATGTTATCCTGTCTCCTAATCTTCTTACTGATTGACTGAAGTGTCTTTTAACCATTTGTCTATTCTGACTTGAGTCCCCAATTCTCAGGAAAGTATACATGAAAATATTATTAGTATTACTGATAATATAGAATAATAATAATAATCACAGAATAATAATATTCATAGAGAAGGATGATCCCAGTCATGTCATACTGCCAAACGTGGGACTTTACAGGATGATGCAAGACCATTTTTGACAACTTTTCCCCCCCTACCCTGGCACTTAGTGTACCCTCATAATTTTTAAAGCACCCGACTGCCGCCTTCCAGCACCATCCTTTCGAAGTTTGTCAACTCTGGATACTCCTCGCCCTGTTGAATTTCTAAACTGAGAAGCTGGAGCGGAGCATCTTTCCCACAGAGAGCCAGGAGGGCATAAAAGCAGCTTCCCCCCTTACACTCCAGGAGGCCAGACAGAGGGAACAACACCTCTTTCGATCTTACCTGGAAAAGCTGCTCTGTGGTCACGCTCCTGTGTGATCTTCCGCCTGAAACGGAGTGGGGATGCCAAAATGGGAAGACTGAGGAGAAAAAGAGCAAGAAACAGGCTAGGGTGGTTTTCAAAAAGCTGGGGGAATCCATGTGAATTTCAGTGGTATCCTTGATCATATCCTATGCCCCCCTCCCCACTACCAGGATGAATCCCCCTCACCTGCTGGTCCTGATTCTTGCTCTCTGCCTGGCTGAGGAGGAAGCCTTCTGCCAAGGCCACCGCCTGGGAATTCGTCTCCGGCCCACATTCCCTGACCCAGCTCTCCATCTCTGAAAATGTAACACATCAGGGTTGTCCTCTGTCACCTTTATTATTTATCGTAGTGATGGAGGTTTTAGCTATAAAGATCACACAAGACTTACGGATCAAAGGAATAAAAGTGGAGGACGGAAAATTTAAAATGATAAGTTATGCAGACGACATGGTCTTAACAGTTCTGGATCCACAAAAATTGTTACAGTATGTAATGGAATATATTGATGACTTTGGATCTTTTTCAGGATATAAAATCAACAGGAAGAGGAAAAATATGATCAGAAAAATTTTGATGCAACAAGAAGAAGAAGAAGAGATTGGATTTATACCCCACCCTTCACTACCCAAAGGTGTCTCAGAGCGGCTTACAAATTCCTTTCCTTTCCCTTCCCCTCCCCACAACAGACACCCTGTGAGGTAGGTGGGGCTGAGAGAGCTCTTGACAGAAACTGCTCTTTTTTCAAGGACAGCTCTTATCAGAACTATGGCTTGCCCAAGGTCATCCAGCCAGGTGCAAGTGGAGGAGTGGGGAATCAAACCCGGCTCTCCCAGATTAGAGTCCACACTCCTAACCACTGCATCAAACTGGAAGCAAGTAGGTAGTGGTTAGACTGTCCAATTAGATCTCGGAGACCCAGGTTCGAATCCTCACCCTGCCACGGAAACTGGCTGGGTGAACTTAGTCCAATCACAAACCCTCAGGCTAACATACCTTGCAGGGCTGTTGTGAGGATAAATGGAGAAGGGCAAAACTTGGCAAACCCCAAGCGTCTTAACCACTTGAGCCACCGCAGCCCCTACTGGGAAGAAATGATATTAGTAACAAAAGTTGGTACTTTAGGAAAGGGAACCAAAGTATGCCAAGCCACAGAAGTCACCTAGAAGAGTTCAGGGCAGGAGTAAAAAAAGACAGAACTGTGTTTTCATTAAAACACAGCAGAGAGCAGAACTCTCCAGAAATCCAAGTTGGCTCTTCCAGGCCACCACAGCAATGCCAGGCTGAGGGCAAGGATTACAACCAATGTTCCCTCTAAGCTGTGGAGTCTTGTGAGCAAAAATTCTACTTTTTGAGCTACTGGTGATAAAGTTGTGGGGGAGCGGGGAGGGATTTGGCTACTGCATAAACTAGTTCGCTCTGGACCCATTCTTTCGGAGCTAAGAGAAAAATGTGTAAGCTGCAGGCTAAAAGACTGTGAGCTAGCTCACACTAACTCAACTTAGAGGGAACACTGATACAACAAAACGCCAACATGTGGGCCATGTTGTGAGTGTCTGGAGCCGGCAGCAGGATGCAGAGGGGGAAAAGCAGAATGGGCACATACCCTTTTACAGGAAGAATTCCGCTCTGCTTCCAACGAAGAGGGGCTTCCAGGGAGCAAGGGGGGAAATGGAGTGGGTTGGACAAGATAATGTTAAAGAAAGTGTTGCTAAACTATAGAGTCTGCGTGGTAAATGGTGCTGGCATCTCCTAAACACAACTGCAGCTCCTCTGCACTACTCCAACATCAAAACCACGGAGATATTTTTGCAAAGGAAATATTCTTTTTTCGCTTACCTATTTGATTTATTTTTTTTAACTATGTCGGTGCTGCCCCGTCTCTCCTTCCCCCGAGGGCATTAGTAGCAATCCCCGTGCGCTTGGGACAATGGATCAAAAAGTGACGGCGGCAAGTCATTTGGCCCTTCTCGGTCCCTACCTCTCTAGGAATGGAGAGTCTGTCCTTTTAACCCTTACACTGACTCTCTACAGAAGGCAAAACGGACCTCTTCCTGGCTTCGCCCTTCCAGAGGCTGCATCTGTTTACCCTTCAAGTGCCCCTCCGATTTCCCTGCAAAGAGCGGCGAGGGAGAAGACAGGATTCGACCCGCTTTTCCATCCCAGCTTCGGCTCGTTCTTGTCTCTCACTTTCTAAGGAGGGGACCTGAGATTCAGAATTGGGAGGGGGGGAACGCAGCTAGGATGGAGTCACTGGTTGCAAAGTGATCCCTCTACATATTGGCGAAATCATAGAATCATAGAGTTGGAAGGGAACTCCATGGTCATCTAGTTCAACCCCCTGCACAAAGCAGGAAATTCACAAATACCACCCCCCACTCCCCCAGTGACCTCTGTGCCAGGACCAGCAGATGACAAAAAAAACCCCTCCAGGATCCCTGGCCAAACAGGCCTGGAGAAAAATTGCTGCCTGCCCCCAAAGTGGTGATCAGCATTTCCCTGGGCATGTAAGAAAGGGCCACAAGAACTGAACACTGATGCAAGCCTTCCTGCACTCCCTCTCATGATCTGCCTAAGTTCACAGAATCAGCATTGCTGTCAGATGACCATCTAGCCTCTGTTTGAAAACCTCCAGAGGAGGAGAGCCCACCACCTGCCAAGGAAGCCTGTTCCACTGAGGAACTGCTCTTTCAGGAAGTTCTTCTTAATATTTAGCTGAAAACTCTTCTGATTTAATTTCAACCCGTTGGTTCTGGCCCAACCTTCTGGGGCAACACAAAACAACTCCGTAGTTAAGATGCTGAACTGCAGGCTGGAAGGTCGGTAGTTCAGCAGTTCGAGACCCGAGTGTGCCACATGACGGAGTGAGCTCCCGTCTCTGGTTCCACCTCCTGCCAAACTAGCAGTTCAAAAGCAAGAAATCGCAAGTAGATAAATAGGTACCACTTCAGTGGGAAGGTAACAGCATTCCGTGGGCCTTGGCGTTTAGTCATGCCGGCCACATGACCATGGAAACGTCTTCGGACAGTGCTGGCTCTTCGGCTTGGAAACAGAGACAAGCACTGCAACCCTAGAGTCGGATTTGACTGGCTTTCAAGCAAGGGAAACCTTTACCTTTACCTAACCTTTCAGGTACTTGATTCTTTTTTTCCTTTTCTTTTTGTTACACGTCTAGTTCACAAATGACACTATTAGAGGATATTTGCTTTCATTTTATCTTTTATTGCAACATAACCATTATCTTTAACAATGACTATCTCAAAAGAAAACTATTTCATCCATTACTGCTGCGTTGGTAATTAAAGGAGAACAGTTATAGGAGTCCACAAAATCATCTTACCCAAAGATAAGCTGGTAACATGCGAGGAGCCCTGTCTAAGAAGTTCTCAATCAATTCAGTTTCTCATACTTACAGGCTGTTAACATCTCCTCCTAAAAAAGACTTCTTTCTTTTGTTTCGCTGTCCTACTTGATAAGGATGCACATTCTTGGCTGACTCATCATCTTAAAACTTCAAACACCGTACAAAGTTATCTATACCTGAGTATCTTCATAAAATACATAAAACCTATTCTTTTTCATTCCCGCTACTTGTTACCATAACCAAGTCTACCTAAAATCAGTTATTACAAAGGTTCTCCTATCTATGAATATCTCTTGGCCCTCGACCAATACCACCACCCCCATCTTTGAATTCTCAAGAGGCTGTGTATTGTGTTACTCTTTTCTATCTTTGTCTTCTTCAAGGCTGTTATTCCCATATTCATTTATTTTATTTAAAACATTTATATGCCACCTTTCCACCCAATAAGGGTCCCCAAGGGGTCGAAGAAGAGGAGGAGGAGGAGATTGGACTTATACCCCGCCCTTCACTCGGAGTCTCAGAGCGGCTTACAAACTCCTTTCCCTTCCCCTCCCCACAACAGACACCCTGTGAGGTAGGTGGGGCTGAGAGAGCTCTTGACAGAAACTGCTCTTTTTCAAGAACAGCTCTTATCAGAACTACGGCTTGCCCAAGGTCATCCAGCAGCTGCAAGTGGAGAAGTGGGGAATCAAACCCAGTTTTCCCAGATTAGAGTCCGCACACTTAACCACTACACCAAAAGGCATTGAACACGGCAACTACATGGGTAGAAACCCGAGAATCAGCATTCTCAGACATGGCACTCAAACTCTGGAACTCTCTGCGAAGGGAGATTCATCTGCCCCCCTCTGCCATTGTCTTCCACCAGTCTGTGTCATATCAGTGATATTTCACATCTTGGCATTTTCATCCTGTCTGGTTTGAAAGGGATCCTGGGGGGCACAGTGGAGTTTTCCGTTCAAGCACAGCAGCTGCTGCACAGCTAGACTGCCCAAATGTCAATGAGTGACCCATAAATTATGGTGGTCTTGTTGTGTCCTGTAAAGCAGGTGATCTACCACTGGGTCAGGGTCCCTCTGCTTGTGGAGCAGACTGTGATGCAAGGGAGACGGAAAGGGCTCTGAAGGACCTCCGAGCACCCCTCCGAACCCTGGGAACAATGCTCTTCCCTGGGGAAGAGAGTCATGAAATGCCCACCTTGCCAGGAGATGATCATTTGCCCCACTGCCAGAGAAAGGACAAGAGGGATTGATTTTGGATGGCCCCGGCTAGGCAATAAAATAGTGAGAGGTGCACTTTGACATCACTCTGAAAATGGCTGACGGGGTACCACAAGACCCACCCGTCCCAAATTCAGGATTGGGAAGGGACTCCCATCCAGCTAGGACAGCAAGGGTTAAAAGATCTGTTTCTTGCCAAAGTTGGGTGTGCTGGCAGACCACTCTGGCTTCCTGTAGGGGTTCACAAGGTAATTAGCCTTCCTGTATCATATCATTTTATTCCTGGCAAGAGGTACACCTCAACAACATTTGGGGTTTGCTACAGGTCTAGCTGTTCCCTGGAAGGCCAGATACTGAAGCTGAGGCTCAAATACTTTGGCCACCAAATGAGAAGGGAGCACTCACTGGAGAAGACCCTGATGCTGGGAAAGATTGACGGTCAAAGAAGACGGGGACGGCAAAGGATGAGATGGTTAGACAGTGTTATTGAGGCAACGAACATGAAATTAAGCAAACTTCAGAGGACGGCGGAAGACAGGAGGGCCTGGCGTGAAGTGGTCCATGGGGTCACGAAGAGTTGGATTTGACTGTGCGACTCAACAACAGGTCTAGTAAACAAGGGATAGTTAGAGGAACTTTCCTTCCACTTTATCCTTTACTGCAACATAACTAATTGCATCTTTAACAATGACTAATTCAAAAGAAAACTATACTGTCCATTACTGCTACCATTGCTCCCTCTAAGCTGTGGAGTCTTGTGAGCAAAAATTCTACTTTGTGAGCTACCGGCATTGAAGTTGTGAGCGAGCCGTTTGGCTACTGCTTAAATTAGTTTGCTCTGGAGCCATCCTCACTGAACTAAGACAAAAATGTGTGAGCCAGAGGCTAAAAAACTGTGAGCTAGCTCACACTAACTCAGCTTAGAGGGACCACTGACTGTTACATAGATCTTGACAGCAATTACATGAGTCCATAAAATAGAAAACATTAACATTAAAATACTAACCATTTCCCTGATCTATTAGAGCTTGTGTGTTGTAGCTGTCAGAAGGGCCGACTAGGAAGATGAAAGATATCCCCTCATTTACATTACAAAACAAAGGGGATTTAAGAACCTCACTGAGGTAGCTGAGCCAGTGTGGCACAGTGGTCAGAGGTTCTGACCAATGTTCCCTCTAAGCTGTGGAGTCTTGTGAGCGAAAATTCTATTTTGTGAGCTACTGGCTTTAGAGTTGTGAGCAAACGATTTGGGTACTGCATAAATTAAGTTTGCTCTGGAGCCGTTTTTCCTGAGCTAAGACAAAGATGTGTCAGCCAGAGGCTAAAAAACGGTGAGCTAGCTCACACTAACTCAGCTTAGAGGGAACACTGGTTCTGCCTATGCTCTCGGAGATCCAGGATTGAATCCCATTTCTGCCAATGGAATCTGCAGGCTGACACTCGAACAGTCGCCCACTCTCAGCGTAACCTACCTCTCAGCATGGTGGTGGTTAGGATAAAATGGAGGAGAAGAGAAATACACGAGCTGCTCTGGGTCCATGCTGGGAGAAAAGGTGGGGTATGATGTTTGCTGTTATGAACAAAATTTGGGATGCTGTTTGATGCAAAGGATAATTATTTGTGCCATGAATTCATCCAGTGTAACTGCCGCTCTTTTGGCAGGAGGCAGAACGATTCATTCCATCATCAAACTATCATTAAACATGGTGAACAGAGCAAGAGGGGCAGAGAACCTAGTCCTAAACAACATCATCTAGTAACCCTAAGAGTCTGTGACACCCCTCTTGAATATGTGTTCACGGGGCAGGACAAACAATTCACATTTTATAGTACACTGTATTCCAAATATTTTAGCATGGAATTGAATATGCTTTACCCAATACCAGTTTAACAGTTATATAATACGAGCCTGATTTAGCACGCACACACACACACCCCCGATGATAATGCCTAGTAACGTTGGGCTTGAGGCTGAAGATCTACCAATACTGGAAACGTTTGTATGGTTTCTTTCTTGTGTAAATTTTTTGCCGTGAAACACGGCTTAGCATTTATATGGTTTCTCCCATTTTTAAATTCTTAGGTATCTCTTAAGATATGCCTTTTGAGAGAAGCTCTTTTAACATTCTAAGTGTTTATTTGGACACCCCCCCTGTCCCCATGTGGACTCGCTGATGAACAGTTAGGTTGCCATTCCGAATATAGCTCTTTCCACACTCCAGACATTTAAATGGTTTCTCCCCAGTGTGGATACGTTGATGGATATTAAGTCTTGCACTCACAGGGAAGCACTTTCCACACACCAAGCACTTATACGGTTTCTCCCCAGTGTGGATTCGTCGATGGTTAGTAAAGTCTGAACTCCAAATAAAACATTTTCCACATTCCAAACATTCATATGGTTTCTCCCCTGTGTGGGTACTTTGATGGGCTTTAACCTGTGCCCTCCAAGCAAAGCTTTTTCCACACTCCGAACATTTATAAGGTTTCTCCCCAGTGTGGATACGTTGATGGGATGTAAGCTGTGAACGCTGAGCAAAGCTCTTTCCACACTCCAAGCAATTATAAGGTTTCTCCCCAGTGTGGATACGCTGATGATTAATAAGCTGTGTGCTGTGAGCAAAAGTCTTTCTACACTCCCAGCATTCATACGGTTTCTCCCCTGTGTGGATACGTTGATGGGATGTAAGCTCTATACTCCGACCAAAACGCTTTCCACACTGCAAACATTCATATGGTTTCTCCCCTGTGTGGATACGTTGATGGCATGTAAGATCTGAACTCCGAACAAAGCGCTTTCCACACTCCAAGCACTTATATGGTCTCTCCCCAGTGTGGATTCGTCGATGAGCATATAGGGAATTACGCCGAAGAAAGTCCTTTCCACACTCTAAGCATTCATAGGATTCCTCCTCTGTGTGGAGTTGTTGATGAGCAGCAAGGATGCTATTCTGAGAAGAGCTCCTTACAGACTCCGAGCATTTTTGAGGTTCCTCCCCTGCGTTAATTCTGTGGGGCCTATCAAACACCTGGGATTCAGCACCCTGAGGAGAGGATTCATTCCCCCTCTTCCAATTTCCTTCATTGATGCTTTTCTGCTGTTTTTTCTCAAATACGTGGTTTTGTGGGTCTTCCTCAGACTTGTTCGGGGGACCATCAGCCTCTAGAATAAATAGAAAAGAATGGTAAGACCTTCAGGTAAAAGTAGAGTCAAGAAGGCCATTAACTGCTCTTGATAACGACAGGACAGAAATCACTCGATAGGGAAACAAATCTTGCCCTGTATTCGTAGTGGCAGCTCCATCAGAGACAAGGTGGACCAATGGAACCTCCTTGTTTAGAGGTAGTATCCCCCTGAAGAGGAATGCTTTGGATATGATCCTCTTCTTGTGAACCTTCCAGGGACCCCAGGTGGCCAGCTGTGGATAACGGGAAGCTGGACTACAACGTGTCTCCCAAATCGCTTCCTGCATGCAAGTACCAAACTGAACGGCATTCACTGAACAGTGAATTAGGAGCAGAGCTTTACACCTGAACAACAAAGACCCAATCTGACCTCCAAACTTATAAAGCTCATTGTACTTTTAACCCCCCGTTAGTTCGCCCTCTGTTCTGTGGCCCAGACTGTGCAGGTGAGGCCGGTGGCCGCTAGAGACTATGAGTTTTCAGTGGGGAATTTCCCCCCTTTGAAGCTCACCTGGAATTTATCTTCCTATAGAGCTAGGCCAAAATGATTCTTTCCACCTGGGCTATAACTTAGAGGGCTACTGTTTTAGCTGTTTTATGGTCTTCTAATCTGTGGACTGCTTCTGGAGTGGAGGCCCTTCTTATGCCCTGATTTATTAAACTGATCATTTTGGGAATATTTATGATTTATGAGGAGCTGTGGTGGCTCAAGTGGTTAAGACGCTGAACTGCAGGCTGCGGAAGGTCGGTAGTTCAGCAGTTCGAGACCCAGGTGCCGCATGATGGAGTGAGCTCCCATCTCTAGTTCCAGCTCCTGCCAACCTAGCAGTTCGAAAGCAAGAAATTGCAAGTAGATAAATAGGTACCACTTCAGTGGGAAGGTAACAGCGTTCCGTGAGCCTTGGTGTTTAGTCATGCCGGCCACATGACCACGGAAACGTCTTTGGACAGCGCTGTCTCTTTGGCTTTGAAACGGAGATGAGCACCGCAACCCTAGAGTCGGACTCGACTGGCAAGGGAACCTTTACCTTTACATGATTTTCTGGGATTGTTTTGATTTTTGAACCAACCAGAGAAAGCCTGTTGAGAGGCAGCATATAAATAAATCAATGTTTATTAAAGCTGAGCGCTGTATAAATATTCCCCACCACTACCACCATAGGTACAAAAAAGCCAGGATTTTGTTCCCTGTTTTATCTTCTCTTTCACACTTGAGAAAGGTTTCCTGGCCACTTGGGGGCTGTTGCCCCTTGAGAAATGCCCACATTCTCCAGGTGGTTAAATTGAGCTGAAGAGGAGTCCTAGCCGAATGCACCACCACACAAGTAAGCAGATACCTGCTGATCTCTCTCTTTCTTCTGGGTCCTGGAGAAGTGGATCTCCTGCTTCTTCCACTGTGGATATGGATTCAGGTTTGGGAACCAGAAGTCCTCCTTTTGGGGGGAAAAACAGATCGGTGACTTCTAGATGTTCCAACTTTAAAAAAAATTCAGATTTTTAAATTAAGCTATCTCAACCCGAGCCACTATAAATGGCAAAAATGAGAAATCCTTTTTTTTAACTCCTAAAAGATACAACCAATGGGAAGGGGGGCTACTGCTGGGAGCCAGAAGGAACCTTCTGCTGATCCTGCTGGTAGACTAAAGTGGAGAAGAAAGGAACGGGAAGTTCAGCAAAAGGAAAGAAAGCCCTAGCCTACATGGAGCCACTGGGATACGGTATCTTTGCCCCTTCCCAAGCCAAGCAGGATCCGACATCCCACTATGACACCGTCTAAGGTGGCTCTGACAAAGGGCCACTGTCTAAGGGCTTCTCCGCCTTTGAAGAGACTCTTCAAGGATGGGAAAAGGTGGTGATGGATCCCAAAAACTCACAATAATAGTATGAAATATCTTTTTAACACTTATAAGCCTGATTTCTGTATTTAGGACATTTTTATATCACTCAACCTGTAAAGAGTTCAGAACTGAACACGTTCTCTTCTTTTTCTCTCCAGCATGGCAGGCAGACATTCATCAGGCAAAGCTCTTCGTGACATAAAGCAAAACTTCACCCGCTTAGCTCCTGTTTTTTTTCCATTTGTCCTTCAGGGCTGCACTGCCTTTTACTGAGTCTTTGGGGCACTCCTAAGTCTACACTGGTGTAAGTAGAATGAATACCACAGAAGGTATTTATCCTCTATACCCCACACTTATCCTTATCAAATGTCACAGGAGAATGTAAAGTCTTTGGGGAAGGAAATGTCTTTTCAAACTTCGGAAAATGCACATTATGGGCCCTGTACAAATATTAGTACTTTGTATTATTTTCATCTCCCTGCCAACAAAAGTCCGCATGGTCAAAGCAATGGTATTCCCAGTAGTCATGTATGGCTGCGAGAGTTGGACTATAAGGAAGGCCGAGCGCTGAAGAATAGATTCTTTTGAACTATGGTGCTGGAGAAGACTCTTGAGAGTCCCTTGGACTGCAAGAAGATCAAATCAGTCAATTCTAAAAGAAATCAACCCTGACTGTTCCCTGGAAGGCCAGAGAATGAAACTGAAGCTCAAATACTTTGGCCACCAAATGAGAAGGGAGCACTCACTGGAGAAGTCCCTGATGCTGGGAAAGATTGAAGGTCAAAGAAGACGGGGACAGCAAAGGATGAGATGGTCAGACAGTGTCATCGATGCAACGGACATGAAATTGAGCCAACTTCAGAGGACAGCGGAAGACAGGAGGGCCTGGCGGGATCTGGTCCATGGGGTCACAGAGTCAGACTCGACTGTGCGACTGAACAACAACTTTATTTTCTTACTCTTATTTTTATTGTTGTTCTTTAAAACGCTCATTTTCATGGCTGCTCTGAAAGGTCCCGGAGGAAGCCCTGTTGATATCCCAGAAACTGTTATGGAGGCCAACCCCCCACGTGCTCTGCTTCCAACAGATTTTTCACCTGCACTCAAGATTTTGTTCCCTCTAAAAACAATGAGCCCACTCAGTCCTTAATGGGCCACGGGGGAGGGGGGCCTTCCGTCTTCCCTGTCTTTCTTTACATTTAGAAATCAACATTTCAGCCTACACACAAAGGAGTAACTATGCAGAACCCCCTCCCTGGCCTGTGTGTGCACCCACTCCACTCCCCCACTGACAGTCTCCAGTGGAAGACCCTTATCAGGGTCCCTAATTGGTGGTGGTGGAAAGCCCTGTACCACAACCCACTTAGGTGTTTCCAAAGCAAGAGACATCCAGAGGTGCTTGGACCCTGGATTTTCTTGGTGGTCTCTGTCAACAGAAAAGCCACCCGAGAGGCATTTTCTAGCCACTTCCCCCTAAGTTCACTGCTCCTTGATCCTCTGCAAGTGTCAGCCACCCCCACCCCCCCACACACTGGCAGTTAATCTAATATATGCTGGAAATGCAAAGTGAATGTGGGGACCTTTTACCACATGTGGTGGAAATGTAAGAAAGTCCAAAAGTATTGGAAAATAGTACGCAAAGTTAGACAAGAAATCTTAGGACTGAATCTTGACTTAAGACCAGAAATATATTTGTTAAATGTGGTACCAGATGGATATAACTTTAAAGATGTATATTTAATAACATATATAATAACGGCTGCTAGAATTTTGATGGCAAAACACTGGAAATTAGAAAAACTGCCCTCTAAAATAGATCTAATTTTAAAAGTATTAGAACCTGTGCAAATGGATGATCTGAGTTTAAAATTACAGGGGAGGAATAACACGGTACAAACTAATAGATGGAAAAGGGTTTATAATTGGATACAAAGTTTGGAGGAATGAATGACTGGAAATGTATGCAATCTGTGATGATGTAATGTTCAAGGAAATGTTATATAAAAATTACCTCACACTATTCAGCTGTGCACCTGCTGGGGAGGGGGAAACTCACTCACACCCTGGAAGGGTAAAATGGTAATTGTATGGCATTCTATACTATCCGAGTATTTTGCCTTTCAGTTCCGCTGGGAAAAATACGATTCTCCTTCCATCCTTATTTTGGATAACTGTTTGCTTCAAAACTTTGGACAAATCCAGTCTCTTGAGATGGCTATCATATATGAAACTGTGGTCTGCTCGTCCAGATTTGACAGAACTAAGAAGGAAGAACTATGTAACGCAAGGAACAGGAACTGCTAAACCGAGGACAGGAATGCAGCTACCAACCCCCAGAATTTTTTTGCACGTGGGCAAGACCGAAACACATGGAAAAAAGCAGTCTTGCTACAGGTGAAGTACCCTCTTGACATGACATGGTGAGAGATGTTAGTCACAGTGAGGCTGATAAAACGGAACATAGGTTATGGCAAATAAAATGCAAGTCTGTGGTCAGGCAGGCAAAAAGGGAATATGAGGAGCATATAGCAAAAAACATAAAGACCAAAAATAAATCTTTCTTCAAATACATTAGAAGCAGGAAACCAGCCAGGGAGGCAGTGGGGCCCTTGGATGACCAAGGGGTAAAAGGAGTACTGAAGGATGATAGGGAAATGGCTGAGAAGCTAAATGCATTTTTTGCCTCTGTCTTCACTGTGGAAGATGAGAAGTGCTTGCCCACTCCAGAACCACTGATTTCGGGAGGGGTGTTGAAAGACCTGAGTCAGATTGAGGTGACAAGAGAGGAGGTCCTAAAACTGATAGACAACTTAAAAACGGATAAATCACCAGGCCCAGATGGCATACATCCAAGAGTTCTGAAAGAACTCAAATGTGAACTTGTGGATCTCCTGACATACCTTGACTTCCAGAAAGCTTTTGATAAAGTTCCTCATCAAAGGCTCCTAAGTAAGCTCAAAAATCATGGGATAGAAGGACAAGTTCTTTTATGGATCAAAAACTGGCTAGTTCATAGAAAACAGAGAGTGAGTGTAGGTGGGCAATTTTCTCAGTGGAGGGTGGTAAGCAGTGGGGTACCGCAGGGATCAGTACTTGGTCCACTGCTTTTTAACTTGTTCATTAATGATTTGGAGATGGGAGTAAGCAGTGAAGTGGCTAAATTTGCGGATGATACAAAGTTGTTCAGGGTGGTGAAAACCAGTGAGGATTGTGAGGCACTCCAAGGGGATCTGTCAAGGATGGGCGAGTGGGCGTCAACATGGCAAATGGGGTTCAATGTGGCCAAGTGCAAGGTGATGCACATTGGAGCCAAAAATCCTAAATATAAATACACATTGATGGGGTCTGAACTGGCAGAGACTGAGCAAGAGAGAGATCTTGGAGTTGTAGTAGATAACTCACTGAAAATGTCGAGACAGTGTGTGACT